CACACTCACACACACACACTCACACACACACACACACACACACACACTCACACACTCAAACACACACACACTCACTCACTCACTCACTCACTCACACACACACACACACACACACACACACATTCATTTTCTAGATGTATCTTATATAAGAGTGATTCTGTATTGAAGGAAAGTTTTGACTACTTTTACAATATATCATTCAACAAAATATGAAACAATATTTCATTCACACTTAGAGCTGCAATATAATCTTAAGATGCCATTGTAATTATAGTCATGACTAAAGGGTTCGTTTAGACACGTAACCCTGTAAAGCCTGACATATGAAATAATTTCTAATTATTATCTAATTATTTTAATTGAATGGCTTATTGAACCTTTAGACAAAATATTAAAACAAATCTAAAAAAAAAATGCATATGTGTTGAGTATCTTATTTGACACATCAGGCTTTTATGGCTCATATCGTCTGATATAGGGAGAATATGGTGGAAAAACATAAAACATAAAAAACAGACTCAAACCGAGCAAAAATATACAATTTAGTGCAGATGCTGATATTTGTGTGGACAAAAAGTATACAATTCTGATTGTAATAATGTAAATCAGTGAGATCTTTATAACAGTATAGCAGATACTTGCATAAAATAATATAAATATCAGTCGTCACTCCATATCTCCAATAATATGTCTTATGATGATATTTAAATGCTTACAGTAGTTTGATGATCAATGCAATATAATGACTATTGAGAGATGAACAAATAAACGTTCTTCAAAAGCCTGATGGTCACATTTGATACTGATTTTTCTAAAAAATTATGTTTGGATAATCAAGTAAAGTTGCAACTTCAGCAACAGCAAAGTTTTGATCATGTTAATCATTTAGAGGCTTTAGAAATTTGCTCATTATATATAATACAATATGATTTACAGGGTTAGTATTTTTATACTTGTATATTATGGTAATGTATTGGCCAATTAGCATCCAGGATCACAACAATCCATGTTATAATATGCAAATGATTTTAAAATGCACCTCAAGCATGATGTTTGCATTTGTCTCTTTCACTCTGTGTTTCACAGGAATGCTGGGATTGGTGTAAAATGTCAACATGAGATCATTCGATGTCTCAAAGCGTTCATGAACAACAAGGTCAGAGCAGATCTGAGCTCATTCTGTAATATAGACCGTGGAAACTGTTCTCTCTAATGTATCTCTCCATCTGTCTGTCTCTCTCAGCACGGTCTCAAAGCCATGCTGACGTCAGAAGAAGGAATCCCTCTCCTTGTCCGATCCATCAATCCAAACGTCCCGCACATGATGGTGGATGTAGTCAAACTGCTGTCTGCCATCTGTATCCTCGAGCATCCAGGAAACACGTGAGTGTGAAGCTGAAAGCAGAAGCTGTGTTCACAAACTCAACAGTGTATTCAAATGGCATTTCAATAGCCATACAAGCTCATCAAGTGCCAATTAGATGCCCAAGAACAGAAATCATGTTCACCTGAGGAAGTTACCATAGCAACAGTTGTGTGGGACCAATGAAAACCTTAATACTATCACTATTTACCACTATTGATTACTATTTACTTCATTGTAACTTGTAGAGATGTAAGACAATAGATTTGCACAAATAAATATTTCACAAATAAAACTAGTATTTTGTTTAAAAATTATATATTATTTATTATATATTTGTATACAGGTGCATCTCAATAAATTAGAATGTCGTGGAAAAGTTCATTTATTTCAGTAATTCAACTCAAATTGTGAAACTCGTGTATTAAATAAATTCAATGCACACAGACTGAAGTAGTTTAAGTCTTTGGTTCTTTTAATTGTGATGATTTTGGCTCACATTTAACAAAAACCCAATTACTGAAATAAATGAACTTTTGACAGACATTCTAATTCATTGAGATGCACCTGTATATATTTTCCATTATATTGTTATATTTTCTTTTCATTTTAATTGTAGTTAATGTTTTAGTAGTATTGTTGTTTTTGTCATTTAAAATTATTTGTCTGTATATATATATATATTAGGGATGGGAAGATTCCCCCGATTCGCTCGGTGCATCGGCATAAAAAGTTAACCATATTCTTAAGCAGACCTTAATGTCGATCATGGATCAAATCGATCCACCATGACAAACAGCGAATTTATCTGTGCTGTTTAATGCATTTGAGACGTTGTGTTTTCCTCAGTGCATAACTGACATGTCACAAGTATATTTTTCATCTGTAAATGTTAGAAAGTCATGCAAACATGTCCATTTTGCTGTCAGGAGTGGGCGAGACACGCGAAAGCAACGAGCGCTGCTGCGCGCATGCGCACTAAACAGACTGAGCGCAATTGAATAGGAGCGCAATAATTCTCAGTAAAATATACATTTTGCTAAAAAAATTTGTTTTTGGACATTAAATGTGTCTTTTGTAGAATTTTAAACCTACATAAAAAGTGTATTTTTATGATAGCAGTAACTGTAAGTGGACTATTGTAATAGGTCAATCAAATGTAAGCTAGTAGGCTACAGTACTAATTACTAAGCTCAAATGAGTTAATGTGCGCCAATGCATTGTTAAAGGATCAGCGTGTCATGTAATATTCCCATATAAACTTTAACATCCAATTAAAAAATATTTGTATAGTAAAATTCGCTAATTCACGAGATCAATACATCCTTTATTAGACCGCTTTGTCGAGTTAAATGCATCCTTACGGAGGTGTCGAAATGCTGAATCAATTCATTCACTTCCAACAGCGCTTAATGGGAGCAGCGTCATAGAGGGCAGAGCGTCACGTTATTTAAAGGGGACGTTAACGCGTTAACGAGTAGCAAATTATTAAGTAGCTGCATTGGTTACTTTTATGCCACTGATAAAGCTTTTATATGTAGTTTGGGGTAACAGGGGTTTTATAGGTTTGACTGAAATAATAATGCAATAACTGACACTTTAAATCAATGTTTCAAGAAACAACAACAAAAAAATTTAACAAAAAACAGATAAAGACAAAAAAGTAATATTGATAATATCTAAACCATATGTAGTAGTATAGTATATAGTATCCAAATCAAAATGTAATAACATTTATTTATGTGTGATTTATGTGTAAATTATGTGCAATGTCTTAGCCACTATAGGGATTGTTACATAGGGCTATACAGGCATCTAGTGGCAACACAATGATATTACAGATACTAAATTGTGCAAAATGTTTATCTTAACAGTCAATTTACAAATAATGCATTCAGATTTGTGGAACTCAATGCACTGAATCTCCACAAATTAATGTCGTTACTATGACAACCAATTTGAATGTGACAAGCAACTGGTGTCTGAAAAGAATTTTATATATATATAATTGTGGGGGGGTGTGGGCAATAGGGATTTCGCCTAGGGCGTCAAATTGGCTAGAAACGGCCCTGGCTGCTTCATATGTATCTTTAATGTATTGTATCGTTGGCTATGCATCGAGATGCATATCGTATCGGCCTGAGTCATGAGATGCACATCCCTAATATATATGTATATATACTGTGTATATATATATATAATTTGATTTTTTTTTTATCTCCATTAACATTTTATCATGGTAGGTTTTAGCCGACTGAGATTTTCTGTATTTGTTTTGTATTTGAAGTAAAGCTGAAATAAAATAAAATACAAATATTAGATGAAAACTGTGAACTGAAATAAATTTAAGTGCTACAGTCACGGAAATAAATTAAAAGTTATATAGAAATATATAGAAAAATTACAAATGACAAAACCACACACAAAAGTAACAAACTAAAATGAAAATGAAAAATATAAATATAAAAATATATGAACATAAATCTCATTCAAAATATAAATAAATACTATAACATAATTTATGTTACAGCCCTAAGTAGACATTGTCATTACACAATGTAACAAAAAATTTTAATAACATATTAGCTTGTATAAGTTGTCAATATATATTAGTTTTCGTGAACACTGTTAAATGGTGTACTGTAAAAAATTATGTGATTTTCATATTAATAATGTCAAACTTAATAAACAAATAAAAATATTTTATTAAAAATAAATGATATACAAAAAGTAATGTGATTTTGATATTCAGAATGTCAAACTTAATAAAGAAATATTAAAAATAAAAGCAAAACAAAACTTTTATAAACACTTGTTTCACTCTGTTAACTAAAAAATCTTCCCAAAGCTCTCAATTATCATTCTGACTTGCATTCAGCTAAAAAAAATGCCACCAAAGATGAGCAATCATTTCACATGTATAAAAACAAACACAAATGAGATGTAAGTGCTAGAGCAGAGAGGGAGGCTTTGAAGACAAACCTCAACAGATTCCACTTTAATTTATCCACAGAGTCTTTTATTATGCTTTGTGTGTGTTTCAGTCATGAGCGAGTTCTGGAGTGCATCACTGAGCAGGCTGAGGAGCAGGAGATCGAGAGGTTCCAGCCGCTGCTGTCCGGCATGCATAAAAACTCCATCACGCTCAAGGTAAAACACCCGCACGTGACACTCCAGAACACAGGCTGCTGATGGGATGTCATTTGACTGATGTGTGTGTGTGCAGGCCGGCTGTATGCAGCTGATCAACGCTCTCATCAGTCGAGTGGAGGAGCTGGACTTCAGGATCCACCTGAGATCAGAGCTCATGAGACTGGGACTCAAAGACCTGCTGAAGGTCCTCAAACACACAAAACACAGCACACCAAAAACTGACATGCAGTTGAATACTACTCTACAGTAGTTAAAAATGAATAGCAATGTTGTCTTTATAAAATATCACAAGGACTTTCAATGATGTGTTTGCATTACTGTAATTATAATTTTATCTCTGTGCAGAAAATAAATAAATGTGCAGAAACTCAAATGAATCAATGAATCGGCTTTGTGGAATAAATCAGATGACCAGTGTTATTTTAGTATCATTGAGATACTATTCTAGTTTTAATTAATATTTTGAATTTAAATTTTGTCGTTTTTTAGTAGATTTTTAAAAATATGTCTATATAGTTTTTATTGAATTTTATTTCAGTTTTAACTGAAGTTATTTTGTACATAAATTTAAACTCATTTAAAATGAGAAATGTTTTGGCAGCTAGGTGAAAAAAATCTTTTTATATACTTTTTATTTTGGTTAATGTAAATTTTATTTTATTATTATTATTATTATTTTTTAATGGTATTAGTTTTAGGTAATGATAATAACTCTAGATCTGACAGCGTTTTATGTCTCCGCTCTCGTCGGGGATGTTACAGTGAACTGCAACTAAAATTAAAACCGTTAAAATAAATTAATTAATAAAAAAATAAGTACACGCATACATGCATACATTCATACATTCATATCAACAGAAATAAAATATATAAGAAACATATTTAATTTTAGCTAGTTTCCAATGCAACACTTTTCATTTTCATTTAGTTGAACTTGTACAAAAACAACTAAAACTGAAATAAAAATTAAAACTATATAAGCTTAAAACTTATAAAAATGACAAAAGCACACAACAAAGTTACTAAAACATTGAAATTAAAATGAAAACGGGAAATATAAAAAGAAAAATTAAAAATACTAATAAAAACTATATTAGTATCTCAATTATATTGTATATGCACATGTGCAATACAACATGACCAACAATCATTTAGTGTTTTCACTCAAGTTCATCCCAACTTGTTACTGTCTAACTCATCACTAATTTATATAATGGCACAATTAATTTCAGTTTGACTTAGATTCTGTGTTGTGTGTGTAGGAGGTGAGGTCGATAGAGAACGAGGAGCTCAAGGTTCAGTTGCAGGTGTTTGAAGAACAAGCTGATGATGACTCTGAAGATCTTCGCTCCCGGTTGGACGACGTTCGTCTTGAGATGGAATATCCTTTACTGCTGGCTTTAATCTGGCGAAGACACTTTTGAAGAGCTTTGGATTCAATGCTGGGCTTTGTAGATGTATTATTTACGCTGTTGATTTAATATTGTATTGGATCTGGTTGTAGTTCAGAAACTGGCCACCAGGTGTCTCAAAAGTGCAGAATCATTATTACAAGCTGAGGCGATCCTTCAGCTCATATTTTACACTCTATAGAGGCTCATATCACAAAATATAGGATTTAGCCTTACTCTTTAAAAAAAACACGTTCTTTTCCCATTTGAAGACGTTTCATAACAGAGGTCATTTACATTTAAAAGGCACAGTAGCAAAATAAAATAAACAAAACAACAAAACAGTCTTGTTTTATTGTCAGTGAGGAAATGAAAATATGACTGGTTTTGTGCAAGAAGCCTCAATTATCATTGGAAGTGGGCTATAAATACAAAATATACTGAAATGCAGAATAAATAGCCTTTTTTATTATTAGATTTTTAAATCTGATTTTTCAGGTTTTGTCCACCAGGTGGCATCAGAAAGTCTAAGCTGGATCTTGTGTGTTTTTGTCATTCGCAAAAGATGAACAGCAAGAGAAAAAAAGTACCGTTTAATCGAAATATTGATTTGAAAGTTGCATCATTTTATAGTCGTAGAAATGATCACAGTAGAGCTGAATGAAATATAATATATTCATGTAATATTCACTGCAGGTGTTATTTTTTATAATTAATTTTTATATTTCAGGTTTTAATTTCATTTGTAGTAATTTTATGTGCTTTTGCCATTTTTAATCATTTGTTTTAAAAAATATTTCTAAGGGGTTTTTAATTAAGTTTTAGATTGTCAAATGATTTTAGTACTTGAGACTTACTGAGACGCAAGTTAATACCCCAGGGAACTTTTCTCATTTTCAATTAGATTAATTCTTTCATCAAATATATTATTTTATATTTTATTGTCTATTAGGATTATTTTTTTTTCTTCTTAAATAGGTTTAGTTTTAGTTACCAATAGTAAGAACACTGGACAGATGTATTTTCAGTTATGGAAAGTAAACTACATCAAATGTTTTTGTTGTTGTTCTTTAACTCTGTTGTCACTGATGTGACTGAAGTCTTCCAGATCTTGATGAACACGGTGAAGGACTCTAAAACTGAACCTCTCTTCCTGTCTCTGATGCAGCACCTGCTACTGGTGCGAACCGACTACATGGCCAGGTACGAGCGCTCACCTTCACCCTGCAGTGACCTTTAACCTTGTTGGAAAACTTCACAAATGAATTTTGAGCCAGTTGATGCGTGCTATATTGATGAAACTGTGGCTGACAACTTGACATGCATATACAAGCGTGAGCTTGAGAGGTTATTTGACTGTCAATCACTGATGTTACAGCTGTCAACTGCTCTCAGCTTATGAGAAATGGCAGAAAGTGATGTTATTGTGTGCTTGCAGAGCAAGAAAAACACCTGTCAAAACTTTGGACAGGTGAAGGAAGGGAAGACAAAAACCTGAATTGAATAAAAAAGCACAACCAGACAGAACACACAGGGGTTAGACGCAATACAAAAGTCCAGTGTGCTCCCTATCTGTCTGCTGTCTACATAGGCAACATAATAAATGAAAGGAATATAATGAACGCTTTTCTCTCTTCATTAACTATCTTAGATAATAATTGTACTGTTCTCAGGGATTGTCTTCCTCATGAAGGATTAATTTAATCAAAGCAAGGCATCTTGGAAGGTTGTGTAATTCTACTATTTACTGAATCCAGCAGTCTTTAAGTGGCCAGCGATGACTTGACTTTCTGTAGGTGGGTCACTAGGTTGTGGAACAGAGCTAATGTCTTCATTTGGGTTAACTGTTGCTGTGGTTATGAGTGTAACTGAGTTAGAGAAGAGGAATGATTTCGGTGTCCCGTCTGTACAGACATTATTGGATCTGTTCCCGTTGTGTGTACGTGACAATTTCAGAGTCACATCTCATTGCAAATACAGTGAATCCCAAACACTGACTGTGTGAACATGGACCAGGAATTATTTCAAGCGATAGCTCAGTCAAAAATAAAAATTCTGTCACAGTATTATTTATATGCTATTATAGTATTTATTTCTATTTTAGTTTTCTGTTTTTATATTTCCATTTTAAATTTTAAATATGAATTTTATGTGATTTGGACATTTTTATTCATTTTAAAAATATATTTCTATTTAGCTTTAATTTATTATAATTCAGTTTTAGTAATTTTAGTACTTCAATTTCAAATTATTTCAGTTAGGTATCATTTCTAATTTTTGTTTCAGTTAGGTAACATTTCTCATTTTTGTTAAAGTTTTATTTTAATTTATTTTTAATTTTATATTTTATTTTATTGAGTGAACATGATTTTCAGTCATTTTAGTTCTGGTTAACAACAACAACCTTTTGTTTCTCCAAACCTGTATGACTGACTTCTGTGGAACATAAAAGAAGAAAAGGACTTGTTTCTTATGCAATTACAATGAACAGAAAACTTTTAAGCCTCAAAAAAGTATGCAAAAGCATTAAAAAAATATTTTGTACAACCCTGGTCCTATATTACACATCTTCTGAAGTCATATGATAGCTTTATGTGAGGAACTGACCAACATTAAGCTGTTATTCAAAGAAAAATTCTTCTTTCATAAGTATTGATGTCCAATTTGTTAAAGTATTTTTGTTTGATTTTAATCTTTTAAATCAACAGTGAATCTGTTGATTTGGTTGTGAATTAGATCATTGATTTAGTGAAAACCAGATCAATCCAATTACTTCTCACTGGAGGTACAGATTTTCAGTAATTATGACCTATATTTTATTCTGTTTCACTGCGTGAGTCATATGGACTGCTGTTCTGATGCTTTTACCTCAGTCTCTATTCAGTATAACAGCATAAAAAGAGCAACCAGCGCAGTCTTTTCAATTTGCCTTTTATGTAACACAAAAGAATAAAATCTTACAGGTTTGGAACAAAATAAGGGTGACTAAATAGAGGCAGAATTATGATTTTTTGCTGAACTGTCCCTTTAAGAGACAAGATCGTAGTTATTCTCATGAGTGAGTTTGAGTTTATGGATAAAGGAGGGAAACAGGAGAGATGGATGCCGTCAGAGACGAGGAGACGTTTGATTGATGGGCAGCAGGAGGCGGATGCGGTTGCCGTCGGCGACCAGCTCTGAATAAGAACCCAGCCACTGTATGACACCCCCGCTTCAATTAACTAGCAGACACACACAAGCATGTACACACACACACATGTCGGTGCATTTAAAAGTTTTCTTGGCAGAGAAATTATTGCAGTGGAGAAAAGACATATTTCTTTCAATTCTGTTTCTCTAACCTGCACGTCTAAAGTCACCCACACACACTCTTATTCTCTCTTAAAACAGCCTTTCATACACACACACACACACACACAGCAGAGAAGAGCTGGTGGGAGTGTGCAAATACATGGACAGATGGAGAAGTGTGTGTGTGTTTGTGTGTGTGTGTGTGTGATGGTTTGTAAACGCTTTCAGGATGTCAGACTTGTTGCTTGTTCCTTGTCTGCTCAATGTGATCCGACAGGCAGGAAATTGGAGAGCCTGTTTCTGTCCTGAGCCTGTGTGTGTGTGTGTGTGTATGTATGTGTGTGTGTGTGTGTGTGTGTGTAATGTTTGGAATAGAATGCTAGTGTACTGCACAGTATATACTGTATACTATTTTTTAAGTATGTGGAATAGTATGCGGTATGAAACAAATTTTCAAATAGTACTGTAGTATACGTTTTCACTACACTGCAAGTGTAATTCATGAATAAAATAGCTTGCATTTTTAATTTAATTTCAAGTAGAGCTTCACGAATAATTGTTGGGTTTGTGATCTTGATTTGAACACTTATGCAAACTTAGTCATAGCTGAATTGTTGTCATTTAGGAATATTAAACTTTTGTTAAACACCTTTTGAAAGTAACTTAGTGCTTCAAATACATATTGTACCATTACATCGTTAGGCCAGTAGGTGGAGACAAATTACTTAAAAAAATTAATGTTATTTAATCATTCAAGAGATTCATTCAAAAACACTGATTCACCCAGTAATGAGTGAGTCATTGTATCATTCATTCAAACTGTTTTGAATTGTGATTAATAAACAATAAATAAAAAATAGATGTTTTAATAGACTGCAGCAATTAGCATTTTATCAACTTCTAGTAAATAACATTAAATTTTAGTAGTCTATTGAGAAGGGAATGATGATCTCTATTAAAAAATAAATAAATTATTATTGTAGATTGTTTGGGTTTTTCATGAAAACTGAAAATTCACATATTGTGCACAGTATGCATACTGCACACTGCAGAAACAGAGTACTTGGCTATATTTTAAACTTGTCTAAGCTTTTCAAAAAAGCTAACAGAAGCCTGTTTGACTATAGTCCAGGTCTTAGGATAGTTTTGAGTGAGAAACAGACCCAAATGTAAGTTATTCACAAGCTTGAATATTTGTGCCGAGTTTGAATGTAGCAGAGTGAGGGAGATTTGATTATCATTGAGTTACTGTTGTATGACTTGAAGGCATGAAATATAGAGCACCAGTCACTCTTAGGTCCTTTTTTGGAGTATGAGACCTCATGGAGAACATGAAATGATTAAATAATGCTGAAATATTAGCTGAACTAACCATTTAATTGCAGATTATGAGCAGAGAAGTGCAATAAATGCTGTGAACGTCTCGTAAGGAGGTAAATGAGTTTTGAGAGGGGAGCAGCGCAACAGAAGTGTGAGATGGAGCGGTTTGCAGGTCTTTCTCTGCTGCCATCAGCAGAATCGTTTCATGCGAGTTTCTCTGCAGCGATTAATGTGCTGACACACGGCAGAAAGTGACAACGCCTCCATATAATTATCCTCCAAAAATAACCGCAGCTCAAATCCCCGAGCGGCCCGTCTGCCCACAAACAAACTCTCATTTCACCACTTTAATCACTGACGAGAGAGAATTAATTAGGATTATTCTGATTTCTCCAAAAGCCCCTGGTTGAACTCAAACGAGCGGCTGCGCTTTCACACAGACACTAGGGGTCTCTCTCGCTCCACCGAAGAAACCGGGAGTTTGATGGAGAGAGAGGGAAGGGAGGGAGGGAGAGAAAAGAGGGCAAATAAAGGGAAAAAGAAAAATGAAGAATGTATCGAGTTCGTTTCACACCAGGTCAAGATGGCAGATTTCTCACAAATGGACTGTCTGGAAAACCTCTCAAATATCAAACCATCACACACGCACACAGATGTCGCCTATCTTCACTCTCTCTCACACACACTCAAAAACAATCGAAAAATATTTAGACCTGAATTTAAGATTTATTTATTGGAATGTCTATCAATTTGGATTACACATAATACATTAACTAATAAACTTAATGTGATGCATATTTGTCAGGGTTAGATTTTTGTAGTAGCACTCATAAACTAAATGTGCTTTAAATACATATTAACCAGGTTTATATATTTATCATCAGTAAACTGATTGGTTTCAATCTCTTACATATTGCTTGTTTTTTATATATATTTTCTAGTTTCATTTTCATTTAAGTTTTAGTCATTCTGTTGAGTGTTTTTGTCATTTTTAGTAGTTTTTGTTGTTTTTATGTATGTCTGTATAGTTTTGATGTATTTTAGTACATCAAGTTAAACTAAAAGAAAATAAGAAATGTTGCCTCAGAAACTAACTGACATAAAATACGTGTTTATATTTGACTTTCAATCATGCCAAGTAACTTTTTTTATGGTTAACTATAATAAGCCTTTTCAACTGAATAAATGTAATTGTTTTCATAAAGATGTGTGTTGATTCTAAGCTACTTGATTAAATGCATGATTATTTAAATAATACAGATAGCTAATAAACTGTGCCTTGATTTTTTTTTTTTTAATTTTTTGAGTGCAGAAATCGTACTTTTTTTCCCCCCTGTTTCATGTAAGTCAGACAAATATGCATCACATTAAGTTTGTTGTATTAAAACTATGTAATTCAAATGGTCAGGCAATTTGCATGCACATATATAAATCTTATCTCACTACACACTCACACACAATCCCATATGGGCTGCGTTTCAAAACTAGCGAGCCGCCTGCCTAGACAGCATTTCTGGTTGTCATAATGCAGTTTTGATGGATAAGATTGTCAACAGTGTCTCATTTTGTAAGCTCACTGGAGGTCATCATGGATGGCTGGTGTGTGCGACCTTGTGCCGAACAGTGTGATGAAAATCTCTTATTTTATTTTATGAACTCGCCGCTCAATATCTCTGTTTGGCTTCAGAATCTAGTCAAACACAGATTGACGTCTCTCTGTCTCTGTTTGTCTCTCAGGCCTCAGTACTATAAACTCATCGATGAGTGTACGGCTCAGATCGTTCTGCACAGGAACGGCTGTGATCCAGACTTCAAATGCAGGAAGTTTGATCTGGACGTGGGCCATCTGATAGGTAAGAGACTAACACAAGACACTGTAATGCCACATTTGGTCACAGGGGGTGGCAGCGTGCAGAATCACGCACAAAATATCAGAACATCTCAAATCTCATCCAGAATAATGGGGCGTGACATTGAGTGTGCTCACAAACACGCTCTTTAGGATTTAATAAAAATAAGCTCATTTTGTCATTAGCATGTAGTATTTGTCGGAGACAGCCTGTGGTGTGGCTCACATTAGCTGTGTGGGTCTGATGTTTGGGCTAAAGCTTCTCCAGGTTCACTCAAAAAATATTGAGGCATAAGATTTGTGTATTTTAATTAAAAAAAAATGTCCATCCGTTTGGATTACACTATTTTAGCATAAACTAAAAAACCTAATGTGATGCATATTTGTCAGTTGTCTGTATTAGTACTAATAGCCATATTTTAACCATGTTCGCTCTTTCAATTGAATAAATGTAATTGTTTTCACAATGAACAGATTTATGCTGATTCTAAGCTATTTGAAACATTTTTTTTCTTCTGTACTTCCCAATGTAGTTTTCATTCAGTACTTCCCTCTGTGCTTAAACTAAACTACGTTCTTCCTTCCATACTACCTTCAATATTTAGAAACTTACTTCGCCCTTTCATCTTTCCTTTTGAGCTTCCTTGTGAATTTTCTTTTCATACTTGCTTCCATACTAACTTCCATACCTCCTGTCATACTTCCATACTTATAAACTTTCATGCATACTTTGCTCTGTACTTCCTTTCAACATCATTCTGTACTTCTATCCTTCCTTTCAAACTTTCCATACAAAGATCCATAGTTTCTTATGTCCCTTTGAACTTCTTTCCAACCTACCTACTTCCATTATTCCTTCAGATTTCATTCTATACTTCCTTCCATACTTCCATCATTCCTGTTATACTTCCTTCCATACAAACTTCCTTATTTCCATTCATCTTTCCTTATAAACTTCCTCCCATTCTACTTCCATATTTCCATTACTCTTATCGAACTTTCATTCTTCCTTTCAAACCATTCATCTTTCCATTTTACGCTTCCATCCCTCCTGTTATACGTCCTTACTTCCCTTTGAACTTCCATGCATACCAAGCTCTGTACTTCAGAACTTCCTTCTGTACTTCCATACTTCTTTTCATACTTCCTTTTGTACTTCCTCCTGAACTTCCTTTCAAACATCATTCCACACTTCCATCCTTCCTGTTATTCCTCCTTAATTCCATATGAACTTCCATGCATGCTATACTCTTTATTTCTGTACATTCTTTTAAATTTCCTTCCTTGCGAACTTCTTTGTGCATTTTCCTTTGTACTTCAAATTTTGCTGGCATACTTCCTCTTGTACTTCCATTCTCTCTGCCACCTGTGATCTCATTATCATATCTCACCAGAAACCCCTCCCATTGGCTGCTGACGTCAGCGCTGACCCTCTCGCTGACTCGCCGGTTAAACTAAGCTTTGTTCGCTTTCCTGAGACTCTTTTTGGTTTGTAACGCCACACATGCGCGTGATATTGATCTGGAGTTTAGAGAGACTTTAGGGCTTGAGAACAGACACAGAAGAGTTTTCCAGAAGCTTTAGATGTATAAATGTATGCTGCCCTTTGTGTGGTGATTTCAAAGACGCTTTTGGGTTTCTTATTTTAGCGTGAGTTTGAGATGGGACGGAGCGAGCAGCAGATTTTAATTAGATCGTTCAGTAATCAGAGCACGAATCACAGGAGGAAAAGAGACTCGTCGCAGTGAAGGGAGGCATCATAATCCAGTTTTGATGGATAAAATTGTCTATAGTGTCTCATTTTGAAAGGTCACTGGAGGTCATCATGGGCGGCTGGTGTGTGTGACCCTGTGCCAGTCAGTGTGATGAAAGTCTCTTATTTTATTTTATGAACTCGCCGCTCAATATCTCTGTTTGGCTTCAGAATCTAGTCAAACACAGATTGACGTCTCTCTGTCTCTGTTTGTCTCTCAGGCCTCAGTACTATAAACTCATCGATGAGTGTACGGCTCAGATCGTTCTGCACAGGAACGGCTGTGATCCAGACTTCAAATGCAGGAAGTTTGATCTGGACGTGGGCCATCTGATAGGTAAGAGACTAACACAAGACACTGTAATGCCACATTTGGTCACAGGGGGTGGCAGCGTGCAGAATCACGCACAAAATATCAGAACATCTCAAATCTCATCCAGAATAATGGGGCGTGACATTGAGTGTGCTCACAAACACGCTCTTTAGGATTTAATAAAAATAAGCTCATTTTGTCATTAGCATGTAGTATTTGTCGGAGACAGCCTGTGGTGTGGCTCACATTAGCTGTGTGGGTCTGATGTTTGGGCTAAAGCTTCTCCAGGTTCACTCAAAAAATATTGAGGCATAAGATTTGTGTATTTTAATTAAAAAAAAATGTCCATCCGTTTGGATTACACTATTTTAGCATAAACTAAAAAACCTAATGTGATGCATATTTGTCAGTTGTCTGTATTAGTACTAATAGCCATATTTTAACCATGTTCGCTCTTTCAATTGAATAAATGTAATTGTTTTCACAATGAACAGATTTATGCTGATTCTAAGCTATTTGAAACATTTTTTTTCTTCTGTACTTCCCAATGTAGTTTTCATTCAGTACTTCCCTCTGTGCTTAAACTAAACTACGTTCTTCCTTCCATACTACCTTCAATATTTAGAAACTTACTTCGCCCTTTCATCTTTCCTTTTGAGCTTCCTTGTGAATTTTCTTTTCATACTTGCTTCCATACTAACTTCCATACCTCCTGTCATACTTCCATACTTATAAACTTTCATGCATACTTTGCTCTGTACTTCCTTTCAACATCATTCTGTACTTCTATCCTTCCTTTCAAACTTTCCATACAAAGATCCATAGTTTCTTATGTCCCTTTGAACTTCTTTCCAACCTACCTACTTCCATTATTCCTTCAGATTTCATTCTATACTTCCTTCCATACTTCCATCATTCCTGTTATACTTCCTTCCATACAAACTTCCTTATTTCCATTCATCTTTCCTTATAAACTTCCTCCCATTCTACTTCCATATTTCCATTACTCTTATCGAACTTTCATTCTTCCTTTCAAACCATTCATCTTTCCATTTTACGCTTCCATCCCTCCTGTTATACGTCCTTACTTCCCTTTGAACTTCCATGCATACCAAGCTCTGTACTTCAGAACTTCCTTCTGTACTTCCATACTTCTTTTCATACTTCCTTTTGTACTTCCTCCTGAACTTCCTTTCAAACATCATTCCACACTTCCATCCTTCCTGTTATTCCTCCTTAATTCCATATGAACTTCCATGCATGCTATACTCTTTATTTCTGTACATTCTTTTAAATTTCCTTCCTTGCGAACTTCTTTGTGCATTTTCCTTTGTACTTCAAATTTTGCTGGCATACTTCCTCTTGTACTTCCATTCTCTCTGCCACCTGTGATCTCATTATCATATCTCACCAGAAACCCCTCCCATTGGCTGCTGACGTCAGCGCTGACCCTCTCGCTGACTCGCCGGTTAAACTAAGCTTTGTTCGCTTTCCTGAGACTCTTTTTGGTTTGTAACGCCACACATGCGCGTGATATTGATCTGGAGTTTAGAGAGACTTTAGGGCTTGAGAACAGACACAGAAGAGTTTTCCAGAAGCTTTAGATGTATAAATGTATGCTGCCCTTTGTGTGGTGATTTCAAAGACGCTTTTGGGTTTCTTATTTTAGCGTGAGTTTGAGATGGGACGGAGCGAGCAGCAGATTTTAATTAGATCGTTCAGTAATCAGAGCACGAATCACAGGAGGAAAAGAGACTCGTCGCAGTGAAGGGCACTTTACACACACACACACCTCTAAAACCATCTATTCACTCACTGGCTGTCTCTCTTTCTCTCTAGATAACATGGTTGATCAGACCAAAGTGGAAATGAGTGATGCTAAGGCCACGGAGCTGGAAAAGAAGGTATTGACTCGGACAAACACACGCTTGAGTCTGGAAGAATTACACAGATTTAAACTAAATCATTGTCTGCTGAAATACATCGAATGGCCCTCCAATATCGATCAACATCAGCAGATCTACTGCGGCAAACACACACACACACACACACACACATGCAGCCGCTGCTCCCAGACGCCCCCCGCTGTCTCAGCGCGCCTGTCAGTTGACAGATGTGTAATTTGGGAGGTGAGACGAGCAGAACGGAGATTTCCTGTCTCTTCCTGACATCTTCCCTCTAAACTCACCAAACACAGTCTACAATTACCCTGTGTGTGTGTGTGTGTGCCTTTATCTGAATGCATGTACTGTTGTGTATGTATGCATCTTGTGTGGGTTTCTCAAAAAAAACATATCCGAGTCATATTTCACTCCCAAATCAAAAAAAAAAAAAAAGAAAAGAGAATACAGCTTATTATAAGCATTTTTTTTCCCGTTGTGACTATTTCCATGAGTTAAGCAAAATTAACCCTCAAATTCTCATTACCATGATGCATCCTGATGTTTTACTTTCTTTTTTTTTGTGCCTCTCAATAATTATTCAAATTACATTCTCATTATTGTAATGCAGTGTTTTACTACTGTATTGCAATTTAAAAGCGGATTATTTTATATCATTTATTACGTTTTTGATTAATTTTGAATTATCACCACAAATTAAGTGTAATGCTGTGCAACAAATTCTACCATTATGGATAAATGTTACAGCTAAAAGTTACATATGTTTTTTTTTTTTCACATGACATTAATGATGACCATGATATTTCTTTTTCATGACAAACACATTTAACCTTAAAATTCTCATTACCATAATTCATCATGATGTTTTATTTTAATTGAATCTTTGCCACTTAGTAATGATTCTTATTCGACTCTCATTGCTGTAATACAATGTTTTCTTACTGCATTACAATTGACCAATGTTATATAAAGATTAAATTTTTTTTTATGAAAATCATTAATTAAATACAATGCAGCAAATTCTGCCATTATGTATAAATGTTACCGATGAATGTTATGTATTTTTTACATCATAGCAATGAAAATTAATTAATTTTTATTTTCATGACAATTAGGCAATTAAGTTCTCAATATTAAACAATTTCATTTTCATTACTGTAATACGACCAGATTTTTTTTCATATTTCATGTTTCATACATATATGTATATAAAAATATTTTGCTTAAAAAAAATCTTTGTTTATAAAAGATTCACTGATTTATAAGTGATTTAAACTGTATTTTTATTTGCTGCAATTCCTTTCAGCTTATAAGTATCAAAATGCCAAATGTTATATATGTATATATGTGTGTGTGTGTGTGTGTGTGTATATATATATATATATATATATATATATATACACACACACACACACACACACATATATACATATATAACATTTGGCATTTTGATACTTATAAGCTGAAAGGAATTGCAGCAAATAAAAATACAGTTTAAATCACTTATAAATCAGTGAATCTTTTATAAACAAAGATTTTTTTTAAGCAAAATATTTTTAAATTTTTTTGGGGTGCAATGTAACCATGACACATTCTTGTCAAGTTTCTGAGATTTACCCTTCTGTGTGTGTGTGTGTGTGTGTGTGTGCATGTGTGTGTTTGTGTGTGTTTCTCTGTCAGAGCTCAAATAATGTAAACACTGCAATACTCTGCTTTACTTATTCCTTTGTGTGAGTGTGTGTGCTATCGGGCTGGTTTCCTCTTCCTCTCTTTTCCCCTCCTTCCCTTTCTAATTCAGAGTAATAGAAGTGTGTCGTCAGAAGAGCGACAGCAAACAACTCTCATTACTAACACATGGAGAAAGTGTGTGTGTGTGCGCGCATGTGACCCTTCCATTTCCGCTGCTGTCACATAATTGCATGTCTGGCTAGCAAACAACCGCTGTCAAGGTCACCGGAAATTGTCAACGTCTGTCTGTGTGAGGCAGAAGGACAGATTTTGTGGAAGTTTGTAAGGTGAATACTAAAATCCACAGAGGCTCTATTTTGGCTCAGATTTGTTCTTGAATCTGTCCTCTGAGTCGCCCGCGCTGACAACAACAACAATCCACCTTTATAGTGATAAACTGAGGGTCACTGTGTAAACACGGGTCACCTGAGAGTTTATTGATAACACAATATATCACTTTGGTCAAATGAGGATTTATACTATTTTTGCAGTATATACTCGGCACAGTATACAAACACACTGCCCTGCTTGAGATTCTGCATGCGATGCGCTTGACCTTCTGGATGACACGCACAGAATTAAACATGCAGTGTAATGAGATCATGTGATGTGCTGTAGCATATTGCTGTTTGAAATGTTTTTAGCATATTATTTATTTTTTAAGTGCCCTATACAGTATACACTACTGTTCAAAACTTTGGTGTCAGTAACAGGGAAAAAAAAACATAAACTGAATTTTAATCCACTTAAATAAAAACAAAAATCAATGTTAATAATAAGAAATGTTCCTTGAGCAGCAAATCAGCATATTAGAATGATTTGTGAAGGATCATGTGACACTGAAGACTGGAGTAAGGATGCTATGTATTCACACAGAAAACTGTTATTTTGAATTGTAATAATATTTCACAATATTAATGTTTTACTGTAATTTTAATCAAATAAATGTAGTCTTGGTGAGCAGAAGAGACTTCTTTCATAAGTATAAAAAAGTACAGATCTCAAACCATTCAAAACGTTTTCACTTGAATCACTTTTATTTGCCATAAATGTGTGTTTTGTGACCGGTGGTTTATGCAGATGTTTGTTGTTCTGATGATGGATGCTCTGTTCTGTGCAGCTGGACGCAGAGTTGACGGCCCGTCACGAGCTGCAGGTGGAGCTGAAGAAGATGGAGTCCGATTACGAGCAGAAGGTTCTGGATCTGAGCACTGAGAAAGAGAAGCTGGGGAAAGAGAAGAATGACCAGGAGAACGAGAACCAGGGCCTGCAGTCAGAAATCAGCCAACTCAAAGAGAAGGTACAGGACTGTAGCGTCACACCCACAGGAAATGATGTCATTTCTGCATTACCAGCTTTGGTTAAAAGGCCTAACATAATTTTGGCTCAACCAATGGAATGAATTTTAGGGCAGGACTTCCTGGTTGTTTAATTTGTTTAAAAACAATGGACTCTTTTCACATTTCTGGGATTTTCAGAAGCAGAATCGGAAGTTCCTACTTATATTTTACAAATATTTTAAATATACAGTTATATTTTTTTGCTTTTCCAATTGCTTCAATAGCAAAAGAAAAAATCCACAGTAGAATTTCTCTGACTTTCCAACAGCGTTAATAATTTTTCTGTAATTACTATGTAATATTAGGTAAAAATAACTGTAGAAACACTTCATCACAGGCTATGAAAGGGGTTCATTCATTCGTTTGTTCATTTGTGTGTTCATTCGTTCTTTTGTTCGTTCATTCATTATTTTATTTTATTTTTTTATTTTTTTTGACAGCCAAAATGGCTAATTTTGTAATGGTTATTTATTTTATTTTTTTTGTGTACAATTGGCAGTTTTGATTTTATGATTAGGACACCACATTTTCTACAGTATATATGATGTTAGATGTGCAATAATCATAGATCATGGGGGGGACACAACCTTTAAAAAATATTTATTTTATATTTATTCTTTTATTTTTATTTTTTTAATAACAACATAGCAAATTCATACATTTATTTAAAAAAAAATGACTTAAGATAGCAAGTCTTAATAAAAAAAAAATGCTGTTAATCAACTAATCGGTTAAAGTCATGTTATTTTGTGTATTTTATTTTGTAAACATTATTAATTTAATTGTTTTAAACTCAATTTTTGTCCATTTATCAGAAAATGTGTCAATATCATAAGTTATTTTTCTTCATAAATAAATGTGTCTGAAAAAACAAGACACCACATATTAAGAAAGCTGCAGTGTGGCAAAATAAGTTGTGTTTTTAAGTACCAGACTGCTTTAATAAATCCAAAAACAAATTCAGCACACATTTTCCAGTAACGCACCCAGACGAGACTCTCTGTTCCTCTATAAATAAGTGGGCAGTTCTTGACCAGAATAAACTGCAAAGTCGACCAGATTGCGTTTCTGTGAGACTAGAGAGAAGTATGAACAGAGAAGAGAGTAAACAAATGTGAGAGAAGGAGAGATATTAATAGAACAGGAAGGACAGAACTGATGTTTGTGGGTTATCTAACAAACACAGAGGTGCTCCAGATAATTACAGTGGAAAGAGATGAAGCGCAGCCGTCAGCAGAAGTTCAGATGTTTGGACGCTCCATCTGTCCATCCACATATAGTCGGAGAGAAGTTGCTGAGCTCAACCAACCCGCCACCTACAGATAAACAAGCATCAGAAACTTCAGCTAGAACCCCGTGAACTACTTCAGATTCTCTCTCTTTCTCTGATGTGACATTAGCAGGCTGGTCATTTTTAATGAGTTCTGCCAAGTTCTGGGTAAATAAATTATGCTGCTAATTAGACATGAATTTAGACACTCCCTCATGTGCTTCCAACTCTGGCCTGACCTTCTTCTGTCTGTCTGTCTCTCTCCCTCCATCAGTTAACTAGATTTTTACATTTTATGCTGAAATCATGAGCAATGCCTCCCATGCTATGGTGTTCATGATTGTCACAATTTTATCGATAACCTAATTTACACGCCACACTTAAATAAATAGTGATTTGAACAAATCCCTAAAACCCAATTATGGTGTAAGAATCATTACAGAGAGAATTGACTTTTATATTATTTTGTCAAAAAGGTGTTTAATGTTCTTGAGTGCCTCTGTGTTCCCTGTTTTTTCAAAATATGTCAAATAATCCAAGACTGTAGTTAAACTAAAAAAATTATACATTGGAACGCAACAAAAATAACATGACTTTATCCAATGACTTTATTCTTTATCCAGTTCGATCATTTAATAGAATAAATAATCAAAATAATTATAAAAATAGTTGATATATTTAATATAATGTATTGTAAAGTTTTTTGTGTATATAAATATAACAAAGAGTGAAAAATTTAAGGGGGTCTGAATACTTTCCGTACCCACTGTATACCTCTAAAAAAAAATTTATTTATTAAGTATTTTATTTTTTAATTAAAATAGTGTTTGCTTTTGATAGATTTCATCTCTTTTCACTGTTATAGTGTAAGATTTGTTTATATTGAGATGAGTTACTTACATTATTTTGTCAAAAAACATGTTAAATTGATGCTAATAAATGTTTTGATGGAAATGGAATAAATATAATGTAAATTTCAGTGGAACACAACAAAAATAAATCAAATTTAAAAATACAGGAAATAACATCACTTTATCCAATTTTTTTGATTATTGGAGGAAATAATTAAAATAAATAAATAAATAATTTAAATAAATCTAAAATAAATAAATAAATCTCCAAACCATTGATTTAATATTGAGCATTGAATATTCTTTTCTTTTTTTAAGCAAAAGGGCATGAGCTGTATTATATGGAAGCCTGGTTCCACTATGGGATAAAAAAAAGGTTAAAAGGTTGAAGTTGAAATCTCAGAATTGGAAGATATAAACTCAATTGTGAGATATGATTCTGAAAAGAAAAGTCATAAGATATAAACTTGCAGTTGTGAGAGAAAAAGTTCACAATTAATAAAAAGTTGCAATTATTTATTTTTTTCGTGGTGGGAAAAAAAAGAATTGTAAAATGTAATTTCTGAGAAAAAACAAAACAAAATCAGAATTGTGAGATATAAACTTGAAATTGTGAGAGTCAAAATTCTTTTCATCTTGCAATTCTGAGTTTATATTTTGCAATTCTGACTTTTTTTTTCAGTATTGCGAGCTTATATATTAATTTGCACTTATTTTATTTATTTTTTTTATTCTGTGGAAATGCTTCAAAGTGTTGTTCTTAACTCTTTCCCCGCCAGCATTTTTGAAAAAAGTTGCCAGCCACCACCAGCGTTTTTGCTGATTTTTCCCTAAAATTTCATGGCCCCCCAGAATATTTTGTTGTATGAATATCTGAACATGCAATACAACGAAATACAGATCAGACCCTCCACTTAAAAAAAAAAAATATATATATATTTTATTCTAGTTTCAAGCATTGTTTTTTTTATCAACACTTGAATTTAGGTAGGTTTCATAAAAAAAGCAACATTTTGAGCAAAAAGCTGAGAAAATCGCATTTTTATCAAATACTACATCTGGATCATATTCAGTAATATTATCAAAGCAAAGGTGCAGTAGATTGCTTCTATCAGTACTCCCAAAGCTTGCACAGGCCTTTACAACTTCCTGGATTGACATTTCACTCTGTAACATTAGGCAGTTTTCATTTATATGTGTTTAGTGTTGATGATCGCATAATTCTTTTTATATGCATATGCCTACATATGAGATCGCTCGTTTCTGCGTCTTCCTGGTCTATGTTTTTGATCGGCACATTCAAGACTCTTTCAGGAGATGCGTAATAGCGCCCCCTAGTATATAACAGCGAGAACGTGGAAACCCGGAATATTCCGTGTTTGGTGGGGAAAGAGTTAATCAAAGTTTGTGAGCACCTCTTTGTTTCTTCTGGTTCTCAGATTGAGAAGCTCTCAGAAGATCTCAAAGAAGCCAAAACAAAGGTCATCACCGTACATGTGCCTGTGGCTCCGCCCCCCAGCCAATCAGCTTCCTCGGTGCCACCTCCACCTCGTCCTGCTGGAGCCTACCTTCCTCCTCCTCCCCCACCTCCTCCTCTACCAGGACAGACGGTGCCCCCACCGCCACCTGCTCCACCTCTGCCCGGAGCACCTGGCCTGCCTCCGCCCCCTCCACCACCTCCTTACCTGAGGTGCAGCTGAAGAGAGCCAACTGGAGCAAGGTGTGTATATTCCCACACGTCTACACCTCCTATAAATGCCAGTACATTTTCCTCATCAGCGTCACTATTAGTCTAACGACCATTAGAGAACTAGCTGCAGCTGTTTAATGCTCAAACTAGGTAATGATTCTAGAGGAGAAGGGCACAAAAATGAAAAACAGTCGGGCTTGGCACACTTTTATAGAACAAATCAAAAAGTGATTTAAAAGCTACATAAAAAGAATAAGTACATTAAGATAATAATAAGTAAATTCATCAATTCTAGTGCTGTCAAACGATTAATTGCGATTAATCGCGTCCAAAATAAAAGTTTTTGTTTACATAATATATGTCTGTGTACTGTGTATATTTATTATGTGTATATATAAATACACACACATACAGTATATATTTTGAAAATATTAACATGTATATACATTTATATATTTATATTCTTATATTTTATATCATACATAAATATATTTAATATATAAACATAACATATGTTCTTAAATATATACATACGTTTGTATTTATATATACATAATAAATATACATAGTATACACACATATATTATGTAAATAAAAAACTTTTATTTTGGATGCGATTAATCGCGATTAATTAATCGTTTGACAGCACTAGTATATTCCAATGAAACACATGAATAAATTATATTATTAATATTATAAATCGTATTGGCAAATAGTTTTTTTTTTTTAAAGTATACCTACCTAAATAAATAAAGTTAATAAGTTAATGATTTATTCATTTATTTTAATACAAATTCATTTTTTGATTTCTACTTAAAACAAGAAAAAATCAAATGGTTTGCCAATGGGTTAAGAAAAATAAAAAATAATATTCTCTGAAAATAAGACTTGCCATGGTCTCATCAGCACCACACACTTAAATTATTATATTATAATATTATTAACATTATAAATGGTATTGGCAAATAATTTTTTGTTTTAAACATAAATCTAACTAAATATTAAATTCAGCTATTTAATATTTTTATTTGTTTAGCAAAGTTTTATTTATTTTTCAATTAAAATTATTAGATTTTATACTTAAAACAAGAAGAAAAAATGGCTTGGCAATGGGGTAAGAAAAATAAACTTAATTTGAGATATTCTCTGAAAATAAGACATACACTTGCCTCATCAGCATGACTATTAGTCTAATGTCTATAGAGAAATAGTAGCTGTTTAGATAATGACTCTAGAGAAGAAAGTAAAAAAAAAAACAGCTTTTTTTTTTTACCTTTTGGTTTTAATAACAAAAATGCATTACAGAGAATAGTGTTAACTAAAATTAAAACCATAACAAATATTACTTGAACTAAAACATTAACTAATTGAATTAAAATAGAAAAATAATTAACTTATTTTATTTTAGCTACTTGTCAAGGCAACAGTTCTCATTTCTCAACTCATTTAGTTTAAGCTAAATGTTTAACTTTAATTTAACTAAAATAAAATGAAACTAAAACTATATAGACATTTTAAAAAGCATTGCTGTTAATACACAACAAAATCAGTCAAACTTGACCTCAAAATAAAATGTAAAATAGAAAAATAAAGTAAAAACTATAATAGTATATCAGTGATACTAAAATAACACTGATCATAGATGCATTGCACAATATTTTTTGTGGAAATACACAGCATTATGAAATACATTACAGGCAAATCATGCATAATTAAGAGTGGTTCATTTCTGCGCATTTGGCTGGATTGCTTTCATAACAATTTTAAACCCCAATTGAGATACATTTTTTGCATTCTGCTGCACTGTTTTTCTATTGTTTTTGTATATAAAAATACAAAAAAACGTACATAATAAAAATACAAAATTCATGTAACTTTCAGTGCAACACACAACAAATATATATACTATATATTCTCTAATATATCCTCTAAAAGCAAGACTTACGCAGTTATGCTTCTCAAGTATACTGATCTTGGTTTAGATATGGAAACCAAGACAAAAGTACTGATGAAGAAAATTGTGTGTGTGTGTGTGTGTGTGTGTCAGCATAGCCATAGTTTCAACCGTATGTCGCCCACTTGGAGTGGAAGTGACACGTGTGACGATGAGCTGTTGATCATGAACACGCTCCTCTCCTCCTGTGATCTCTCTCTCTTTCTCTCTCTTTCCATCTCTGGCTTTTCCTTGCCCTCCACAAGAGTAAAAACATCAAAACGGTCCTGTCTCCTTTTAGCCTAAAGCTACTCTTTAATGGCTTCAGTGTAATTCATGAGTGTTTAGACTCTCAGTGGTTAGAGCTCTTTGAGGATGTCAGTGAAATAGCTTTTTAATAAGCCTGTGTCTTTTGACTGTGTCTCTGAAAGATAATTAAATTGCTGGTAGAAAGGACAGCATTCTTTTGTAATTTAAATTAACATTTTTTTCCGCTTTCCTCTCATCCTCTCAGACTAGTCTTGTTATCTCACGCCACCCCTGACTCTCTCTTGCTCTCTCTCTCTCTCTCTTTCTCTCTCAGGGTAATTAGATGCTGCTGTATCATTAGAGGTTGTACCTTGTCTCTGTGTCCTAACCTCTCTTTGCCTCCCCCGCTTTCCCCTTATATATCTTATTCTCGTCCTCTCCTCTCAGATTTATGTTTCTTTTCACATTTCAGTGGAAATGGAGGTGAGAGATGCTGCACTTACATAGTGACAGTCATTTAAGACGCTCTCTGACTGACTGTGAATGTTAAACATTCACAGATGCTTCGTCATTGCAATGCATTGTTCTTGAGTGCTTAATAGTTTCACTATGATTTTGGCTTGGCAGTGTTATAAGCAGGGTTGTTTATAGTTAACTAAAATTAAAAGCATAAAAGCATTTTGATTACTTGAAATAAAATTATTTCAAATTTAAACATGAAGTGAAAAAAAATTAAATATAAAACTTTAAAATTGTTTTATTTCTTATTCAAATAAAAAGTATTTTAAGTTCAAACACTGAAATTATAAAACTGAAATAAAAATCAATTCAATCTTGAAATAAGAACAAAGATGGAAAAAAACATTTAGTGAAATGAAATAAGTTTATTTTTGTGTGTATTTCAGGTAGTTGGCAAAGCAAAATGTAGCATTTTGTACACTACTACTAAAATAACTAAAATTATAACTGAAATAAAATTAATAAAAAAAAACACTGATCTATATATAATGTTCTCTATTTTAGATCAGTGAAAAAAACACACAACAAAATGATTAAAAATGTACAATTAAAACCAAAAGAGAAAATATGAGAATATGTATTTTAAATATTAATAAAAAATTGTAATTAATTAATTAATTACTAAAAAATTTTAATTAATAAAATTGCTTAATTAATAAAATTTAATTAATTAATCAAATATAATTACAAATATATGTACAAAAAAGACTAATAAAAATTAATAAAACCACACAAATTAAAATGAAAATGGAAAACCGAAAAATAAGAATGAATTCAGAATATTTATAAAAACTATATTAATATCTCAATGATACTACAATAACACTGGTTATAAGATTAAGTACCATTGTAAATATTGCAATAATACATTTAAGTTTTCATAAAGATTCATTTATACACATCCCTGTCCTGCTGCTGTATTAATATGAAAGCGATAAATATATTTTTTACAGCAGCTATGAACTTCAGACGCTAAGAATTAATTAATTTAATTCATCTCCATGATTGATTCCCATCACTGATTCATCAGTTTCAATGAATCATTCTAAACTCTCATTCATATATTTAATAATATTTCTGTTTCTTTCCTGTTGTTAAGGTGCACATAAATGAAATAGATTAAATCTCCTTTCTTGTTCATTAAGCCCAAAAGTGTTTTTTTTTTACTGCACCAAGGCTTTAATTGATCAAACACTGAAATATTATTACTATTTAAAATGCATGTTTTCTATTATGTATTTTAAAATGTAATTTATTCTTGTGATGCAAAGCTGAATTTTCAGCATCATTACTCCAGAAGGTGTCACATGATCCACCAGAGATCATTCTAATAAGCTGATTTGCTGCTCAAGAAACATTTCTTAATTATTATCACTCTTGAAAACAGTTTCTGCTTCATATTTTATTTTGTAGAAATAGTAATGCAATTTATTTTTCAGGATTCTTTGAATAGAAATTTACTGAAATGAAGAACAGAATTTATTTGAAATAGAAAACTTTTGTAGCATTATAAATGTCTTTACTGTCACTTTTGATCAATTTAATGCATCCTTGTTGAATAAAAGTATTAATTTCTTTCACAAAAACGTTGGAAAACTTTTGGACGATAGCCTACATGCATAAATCAAGATATATTTATATTTAAAAACTCTGACACATTTTTTCCCCCCACTATATGGCTTAGCCGTATTAGATAACAGAGCCACAGGACCATAAAAGACAGAATGATGGACGTTAGAAAGGTTTGTGAGATGTGCATTAACAGCCAGAGAATGAGAGAATTACAGAGGCAGTGAGTGTTTTTTGTCTGGCCGTCCCAGCGTGCATTGGGACTGTGTCGCCTTTCTCTCCTTTGTGCGTAAAATCGGGATCCGTTTTAATGAGTTTCACCCTCTTTTCTTCTCTGTCTATTGTCATATTCTGTCTTCCTCTAATCTGTGTTCTACATTTCTCATTCTGTCTTTGGTTGGTGTCTGAAGGCGGTTAGTCAGAGGAGCAGCGCTCATATTCTGACAGCCTGTTCGCTGCTGTTAAACTCATTTTACTCCCAAGACTTGCAGCGTTTTTCTTCTGTATAAATGAGGTTATGATTTGAGACTGTGAGAAAGCGCTCAGTGGCGTTTCATCTTCTCAAATGGGGTGAAGTAAAGCCCCGGACTCCAGAATCACAAACTACGGTCCATTAGTCAGTGCAGCATCTATAAATGAAGGAGAAACACATTTGAACCGTATGATCGTATCAGCGGCGTCTGCTTAATGATATTGTCCTGATACCAGGGGCGCGGTAAAGCAATAAGCCGACTGGACGGGATGTTGTTAGGCACAGCGTCACTGCATAAATGTATTAACAGTAATAATCATGCAAAGCAGTTCCTTCATCGTGTGTCATTAGCTTAAGTGTACGATGTTTATGGTTGTGAAACAACATGCTGCGTTAATACAGAGCTCAACTGATGTGCATCACAGGTGTTTGTGTGTATCAGCCAATCACAACAGCTGAAAATGTGACTCGTCCAATCAGATTTTAGAACCGGAACTGTTGTACATGGTTATTTGTGGGCTTTGATCTCATGCAGATGAATAATTTTTTGATTTATTGTCTCTCTTGCAGTGTTGTTATTGTCAACTAAAGATAATAAAATAGTTTTGTTAATTGAAATAAAGCTGAAATAAAACTAAAATAATAATAAAAAAAAAAAAACGTGGTTAGAAATGTTCAAAGAAAATGAGAGATGCTGCCTTGGCAACTACCTGAAAATTAAAATAAATTAAAGGTGTGGATGGATGGATGGATGGATGGATAGACAGACAGACAGACAGACAGATTTCGGATGGACGGACGGACAGACAGTCAGACAGGGATGGATGGATGGACAGACAGACAGATATGGATGGATGGATGGATTGATGAATGGATATGCAGACAGACAGGTATGGATGGATGGATGGATGGATACATAGATATAGATGATAGATGGATGGATGGATGGATGGATATACAGACAGACAGATATGGATGGATGGATGGATGGATAGACAGACAGACAGACAGACAGATATGGATGGATGGATGGATGGGTAGACAGACAGACAGACAGATATGGATGGATGGATCCATAGATATATAACAGATTAAAAAAAATGACTAAAGCACATAACACAATTGCTAAATTACTATTTTACAAAGTAAAATTACAACTTTAAAAATGGCTAATTCAGCTAATTTAAAATACTCTATAATATATCATTTTGTGATTATTATTATTATATACAATGGTCACTTTAGTTTGGGGACAAATTCTCACTGTTAACTACTATTTATGACTTTTTCATCAATAAACTCCTAATTTGCTGCTTTTTAATAGTTAATAAGGAAGTTGTTAAGTTTAGGCATTGGGAAGGACGAAGGGATTTAAAATATGGTCGTGCAGCATAAGTTATTAATATGTGCTTTATCAGTACTAATAAACAGCCAATATGCTAGTAATATGCATGCTAATAAGCCACTAGTTAATGGTGAGAATTGGTTCCTAAAGTAAAATGTTACCTATACTATTATCAAATTCTATGATCGTATAGAAATCATTCTTAACATGTCTCTTGTCCTCCATTTCTTAACATTTGGAGAAAAAATAAAATTATATTATAACATAGATGGATAAACAAATAAGTGAGTGCTATATATGATTTGGATGGATGCATAGACATGGATTGATGGATCACAGGTGGTGATTGGATGACTGATATATTAAAGAGATGGCTGGATGTAAATATAGAGGGATGAAGGTGCCAATGACTGTTGTATGTTGTAGATCGCACCGGAGGAGCTGTCTGAAGGCAGTTTCTGGGTGAAGGCGAAAGAGGAGCGCTTTGAGAACAAGGAGCTGTTTGCCAAACTCACTCTGACCTTCTCCTCCCAGACCAAGAGTGAGTAGATCAGCCGTCCTCCAGTCACTTCACACACACCACACACACACACCGTCACACATTAAACCTGTCTCTCTCTCTCCTCTGTCTGTCTTACTCAACACAGCCTCTAAAGGTAAGAGACGGCCCTCGCTCTGTGCTTGTGCATCTGTGTGTGTGTGTGTGTGTGTCCACTGAGACACTCATTCCGAGACACTGGGCCAAACATGGATGACAGAATACAGGGATGTGAAAGAGATGGGTGTCATCTCAGTGTAGAGCACAACATCAGGACCAGTGCTGAGTTTGATGATGACAGAGACACATGCGTGTGTGTGTGTGTGTGTGTGTGTTTACTGAAGGAGAGGGTGAATCTCATGAAAACGTGTCCACAATTCACCCCAAAACTAAAAGAAAACAACAACAACAACATCAACAACAACTGTTAAACAAAGAAAATGAAGCCAGATTTAGGACCATTAAGTACATTGTCCTCTCAAAATGCAAAAAAATCTTCATCTTTCCTATTTTTTTTTTTTTATTGTCATTCTCAGTTGTGTTTCTCATTAACATATTGAGGTCGTTTTAAATCATTTTTTATTTTATTGATTAGTATTGCTTATTATTTGGTTTTGTTTAAATTGTATTATTGTTTTATATTAAATATTAGTTTAAAAACTAAAACTGAAGAAATTAAACTGAAATAAAATAAGTTGAAGTACTAAAATTACAATTACAACAAAAATTACAACACAAATAAATAGAAATATTACAAAAAATAACTTAATTTTGTTTATATACTATTATAAAATATAAATAAATGTACATAAATAATACTTTAACACTGGTTTCTTGTTTATTTCTTGATATTAGGAGAACGTTTTTATATTATTTAGAGAAATTTTTGGGATTGTTGATTATTATTTAGTTGGATATTTAATTATTGCTTTTTTACTATTTATTTTTAATCATTAATTTAGAAATACGTTATCATATTTAATTATTTATTGATACATTGTTTTCTTTTTTTATTAATATCAGCAATAATTGCCACCCTGACTTATAAATACATTGAATTTCTGTAATATACTGCATATCGTTTATGCAGTACAATATCAATTTTTTATGGATTAATTGGAAAACAGAAAACAAAAAGTCAGGACACCAAAGCTCTAAAAAATGCAAGAAATGAAATACTGGACTATTACACAGTGCAAACATAACAGTGCAAATAATCTTAATGGCCCTAAAAGGAGTCTCTTCTTTCAGAAAATTATTGTTTCATATATTTTCTTTGATATTTTGGGGTGAAATAGGACCTGCACATGATCTTGAAGGGTTTCATGAGATTCGCCCGATGTCATATTTTTGGTGACTGTATGCAAAAGCCCCTCATGAATTAGAAATGAGGAAGAAGCAAGTGTCAGGTGTGTGTGTGTGTTTCATGCCACCTGCTCTTTGTCCTCTATGACTGGCCTTTACAGTTTTACTGCATATTTATATCTGATAAGATATACAGCACTGTCGACTTTAACAAGGTGTGTGTTTGTGTGTGCGTGAGGTTTTTAGGTCTGTGTATGTGGCTTCGCCCTTCAGCAAATGACCTTCAAAGAGTGTGATGTTGTCATGCATCCGCTGCAATCTCTCTCTCTCTCTCACGCACACACACTCAGAGTGTTTTCTGTTTTGAATATGGAATACGAAACCTTGAAATGTCATCTTTGGCAGCTGTTTTCCTCAGGACCACCTGAGTGCCGTGTGTGTGTGTGTGTCCAGCTGTCTGAGTTGATGTAGGATAACCTTTTCTGATATCTGACTGTAAATGAATGCTGCCCTTTTCAGATCTTCCATCTGTCCGATCCTGTCCGTAAAACACGAGCGTTTGTGTGTGTGTGTCCGTCCTTGAGCAGGATTCTGTTGTTCTCTTCTGTCAGGTGGCTGCAGTCGTATCTGTCTCTCTCTCTCTCCTCCAGTCATCTCACTCTCTCCAGCCAAGCGAACGCACGCCACCGACATCCTCTGGTGTGCTGACGGTAGGGTCGCAGGTCGATGACCACTGATGAACCACTGATTGTTGATGTAATGCGACAGGACCTCGAGCACATGATCTTCCTCTCTCTTTCTGTGGGTGTTTGTTACTGTTGCTCATTCTCACACTGAATTCCCATGGCAGGTCATTTATTTGGTCAAAAATACAGTAAAAACAGTACATTATAAAATATTATTACAATTTAAAATTACTGTTTCCTATTTGAATATATTTTAAAATGTCATTTTTTTCCTGTGATTGCAAAGCACATGCCATTTACTACTGTGCAGAACAATAATTCATGCACATTATTTTTTGTTTTGTTTTACAGTGGCATTTTAATAAGAAAATACTTTTTTATAAAAATGTAATTTTTATAAATCTCTTTAATGTCTTTTTTTGAACAATTTAATGTGTCTTTGCTGAAGAGAAGTATTAATTTCTTTCAAAAAGTAAAATCTTGCTGACCTAGGGCTGGGCGATATAGCAAAAAAATATATCAACGATATAATGTTTCATATCGTTCGGTATCGATAATTATTGACATTTTTTATAACCTTTTTTTAAAACAAAGCGCAATAGAAATTTTTTTTTAAATTTAACCACTGTATTTTTAAATTAACCCAATTTATTGAGACAAACAACACATATTTTTTGTTTTAACAGTCAAACACAAAATAAAAATGTAACAAATTTTAAACAAATTAAAAAAAGCTGACCTCATATGTCATCCGCCCGGACCTGCTTCCGTGTAGGACTGTTGGCGCAAGCTACATTAAAGTGATTATGTTTTTAATATGGATATTTTTCTTACAAAAACACATCGATTCGTTACAGGAGGCCTTTGTTCAGCCCCCGGAGCCGTGTGAGACACTTTTTTTTATGGATGGGCGCTTTTTATTTTAACTTGTTTTGGACTGAAGCATGCAACAC